TGGGGTTATTAATTCAATGGTATTACTGGGAGGCAAAGTTTTCTTGCACACAGCCTGACAATTATTATTTTCCCAAATTCATACAAAAAAAAAATGCAACAAAGGCATATTGCGATGTCCATTCAACGCTATTTTTTAGACAAAATAGACAAATTTGAAACTAAATCATTACCAGCACATTGTAACGTTCTGCCATTTGCTCCAATCGGGCGGATGCAACGATGTGGGTTTGAAAACTGATAGTGTGCTATTGACATAGCCATTTAAATTCGAGTGGAAAAAGAAGTAAACGAAGCGAGGAATGAAATCACTTGTGAAAGCAATAACGAACGCCTAGAAGTTCATTTTCGATAAAACAAAAAAACAGCCAGCGCACTGACTGCCGGTGTGAAGATGCGTTTTGTGCATAGTTTCTCGCAGATTTTTGTCGCTAACGGCATGGGTTTTTCCGACAAATGCTTCTAAATAACATAATTGAGACTGGCCACCAGGGCTGTCTGAAAACATCCCTTTAAAATATCTGCTTTCTAGCCTTCCTGGTTTCAGAGTTAGCAATTTACCCGCCAAAAATATTCACGAGTCCGTACGTAGGAACCTCGCATACTGGGGGAGGAGGGAGAGGGTGCGAACTCATTAAAACCTACGAGGATGTGGAACATCCCTTAGAATTCTAGTCTTCTAACTTTTCAGGTTCCAAGTTAGCAATTTACCTGGAACAACTTTGACGGGCCCGGGCGTGGGTACCATATGCGTAAGAGCGCTCATTTTGGAAATGGAGCCTATACACGTATGTAAATTAAGTCCCCAAAGTTTCAGCCTTGTAGCTTTTGTGGGTCTCGAAATGAAAAACCGGTACAGACGCACACACGGACACACACACAACCTCTCGTCAATATGCGTTTTCTGCAGTGCACAGATGCCACAAACGCATACAAACCGAAATAGCCAAAAAAAATTATATGAGCTATTTCTAAAAAATGTGAAGTTCAAAAACTGTAATAAAGGCGTACAAAAATTAAATCTATGAAATAAATATAA